TATATATATATATATGAAAGATTATGAGACCATGAAAAATTATATTGATTGGAATGGCTCTGGATGCATATTTAGACCATAAGATTCATGAAATAAATTTGGAAATGTTCATGAACCAATTTATGATCAAGTGAAGTGTCTCAGTGAGACTAACCAAACCACATAGAAACTAGTTTGATGTGGGTCAAAGTGAGCCTTGAACATGCACTTAAAGCATGAAGAGAAGCTTTATTGCACACTCTTGAGGATCAGATGATCTCCAAATCTGACACATTTATTGTAAAATCGAATGTCTTGACGAGATGAATCCAATGAGCATAAGATTATATAATTTCAAAGTTATTAAAGCGTTTAAATACTCATATATCTACGTTCGATCAAAGGAATTACTTAGGGTCGTTCGATGGAGTGGTATGAATTAATGCAATATTTACGAAGGCTGTCATTCACAAAATCTATAAATATACCCCCACTATTTTCATGAGCTGAGGTAGATCTAGATGAGAAGGTTGAAGGAGCTTCAAGTTCTTGAAGGTTCCCGAGCTCCACCACCGTCGTCTGACCGCTGTTGTTGTCGGACCACCACCACCACTATCATTGGACCACTGTCATTCAATCGCTCTATCGTCAAACCACCGTAGTCTGACCACCAGTTGTTGCCACTATCAGACTGTTGTCATTATGTGCAGATCCCTAAGTTTTGGTCGCCGATGTCAGACCACTATATTTAGAACGTTGTTGTCACCGCTTGAACACTGCTGCATAATTGTCACTATCACCACCACAAAACCATTGTTGACTAGTTGTCGTTGCCGTTGGACCACCATTGCGTGGCCAACACCAAAGCCACCGTGAGAACACTGTCATCTAGCAGCCGTCACAGTAGCACATCCACCAATGTTTCCGCCACCGGACCACCACAGTATTGTCACCATAGTCATTGTACCACCTTTGTCGGACCACCATCATCGCTATTGGACCATCGTTGCACGACCAATATTGTCGCCGCCGCTGGACCATAGTCATTTGGCCTCAAATATTGTCGAACTGTCGTTGCCCGGTCACCAATATCGTCATCACCAGATACCGCCGCCCGGCTGCCACTACCACGGGATCACTGCTGCAATCAATACCGGCGAACCACTGCCGTCAAGACGCCTCCACCGTCTGACCTCCTCTACCCAACCATGATTGTCACCAACATTGGACTGTCATCACAGCTGGCAACACTTACATTAGATTTGAGGCACACGTTCTCTATTGTCCATCTTCCTTCATAACAGTCGTCATTGCTGCCACTTTCCCAACATAATTTGCCACTCTCCTAACGAAAATCATGTTGATTGCTCCCACTTTTGCAACATAAATTGGCATAGTTGAATAATTGTAATGGGTTGGACCGCGTAATTTATCTTTTTAGGTTTTTCACATAAAAAAATGTTTGTTGCTTCTTTTATCATTTTTTTTTTTTTGTGTTGGATCTTCATGCAACATTCGGATGTTAATAAATCTAATTCTCCTTCACCCAACAAGACTCATTTAAATTTGACTTTTCATATCGACTCATAAGTCCTACTAACATTAACCTTGAAAAGGATTTGCTATGACTATTTGCTCATGTCTAAAATCTTGTCACGTTGGTGTGAAGTCCATTGATATTTCTACTTAAGCGACATATTTATTGTAGTCCGAGATGTAGTTATCTTTGACACAATTTCTTAAAAAGATTATAATAAAAAAGGTTTTCAAAGCCTTTTAATTAATTATATATATATATATCACCAACATAAATTTAGTATTATATAAATCATAAAGTAAAAATAATCCAAGTTAAAATGTCAATTAAATCCTATAAAAATTAATTATTTAAATTGAATCATCTGATTTTAGAAAGATCAAGAAATAGAATCAAATAAATACTGACAAATTAGCCGCTTTAGAATTTCCTCAAAATGTACCTTTGGTTTGTGGAGATGATACATCAAACTCTCTAAAATGAACATATTACATTTTTCTTGTCCTTTTTTCTCCCTCTCCCTTTGTTTTCTCTTATTGATTCTTTCTCAACTCCTTCCCAGAAAAATAAAGCATGTCTTATGCTTCCATACTAATTAAACTTCCATGCATCTACTTATAAGTCCACTAACCCAAAATAAAGCTACCTAACTTGTACAAAATCACCTAACATTTCACATAAAAAACTTAACACACATCTCAGCGTGTAATTCATACATTAATATTAAGTCAACATCAAACACTAGCATTCGATAAATCTCTTTGAATTGCGTCCCGTCTGTCTTGTTCGCCGAAAACATGATTTTGGTGCCTCAATAAGTAGGGGTGTAACAAAGCTTGTGTTCGTGTTCGGTTCGTTTAAAATTTAGTTTGTTTGAAATAAGCTCGTGTTCGTTTCTTAACGAACGAGCCGAACACG